CGAATCGCAGCGAAAACAAGAAATCATTGCGGAAAAGCGTTTGATTTTCCATAAGCGAACATAGCCCGGAATGATTCATGAATGGCATTATGTGCACTTGGGCATGGGAAAGGCACTTAACCGTAATTGTTTGTGTCGCGTCTGGGCAGCCGGACAGTGGCTGGACAGGAGAGGATCACGTGACCAAAATACCTACGAAAGCTAAACATAATTCGATTTAAATTAATTCACTTTATATTTGCATAAATGTTTTAGTGGATCAAAGCGAATAAAAAGTGGATCAATGAGCGTGGATACAAAATATTGGAGAAGGACAATGCAGAGTAAAAGATAAAAATGATTCCAAGCTAATCCGAAAAGAATTTCAGAATTTTCAGCTCGTTAAAAATAAGGGAAGGATCAGCATCATCGATATATTTTAGATACGAATATTCTCCTTAAAACCAATAGATAAAATTCTCTTCTTTTTGTTGTTTGGACGATCTTAATCACGAATAATTTGTAAGGGCAGCAATCGGGATACTCTGCCATACCAGAGTCGGGTCTAGCCCGGGACTCTAGACTGTGACTGGGACTAGCCTGGTCTGGTCTGGTCTGGTCTGGTCTGGACTGTTGGACATGGTCGGGGGCGAGGGTCAGGCTGATGACTTGATTGAATTCGCATAGGCGCTAGATGGAGCCCTCATAAGCAATGCAGTTGGCGTAGGCAAAGTTAGATGAAGCGTGGTTTGGGGCAACACGACAACACAAAATTCCCAGCAACAACAACCATCACAACAACAACAACAAAGACTATGACAAGCCTCTTGTTATGCACGAGCTGCGTTCTTGTCTGGGGCACATTAAAGACACATGAATGGCCTGGCAATAAATATTATTAAAAATGTTTGCCTTTATGGCATGCTAAACGAGACACCAGCAAGCAGTAGCAGCAACATCAGCAGCCAGCAACAACAATTGCGACACTAAGCCACCATAAGCCTATTATTTAATTTGCAAAGGGAATCGCTGCGAGAACGGGCAGACAGGAGAGAGAGAGAGCGAGAGAGAGAGTGAGTGGAGACAGTGCAAATGAACTTTTAAAGCGCCCGAAAAGTAGACAACAAAAAAAAGTTGCAGACGCCAGGACGAGGCCAGGACCAAGACCAAGACCGAGACCGAGACGGAAAATTGTATTGTAGACGCGACAGCATCATCAGTCATCACCCTCGCTGGAAGGCGACGACGACCGCGAATCCGTATCTCGAGGGTTGCAAAAAGGAACCAAAGAAAAACCGAACCGAACCAAAACCAAAACAACAAGGGTCACAGATATGCACAGAACGATGGCCAAAGATACTTTATAGACTCGTATTTTTTTGGCAAACAACAAGCGAAACAGACGCAATTCGTTACGGCCAGATACAGCTACAGATATACGAGTACTAGCTACAAAATACTGATACTGCAGAGGAGTTGGGCGACTTGGAGTTGGAGAGAGAGAAATATGTACACACGCGTTGCCCAGCTCCAGCCCCAGCGCCAGCCCCATCCCCTGGACAACCAACAGCATAAAACTTTGATGAGTGCGATGGAGTCCAGCAATTGGCCCATGTCGATGGCCGAGAATATGCCAAAGTTAAACATTTTCTGGGAATCAATTTACCAAGCTACACTTTCATGTTAAATCAATTGAACTCAGGCGTGCGTGGACTGTCATTCCTTTGGAATTGTTGCCACTGACACAAACACAGCGAGCCGGACATACAGGGACAAAAGGCAGTGGAGGAGAGGCGGAACGGGGGACAGCAGACATGTATGTCGCTGCTGACTGATACCGTTAGTGCGGCATGGCCCAATGCCCACAGTTTATCCCGCTAACAAGGCTAATTGGTCATGAAGCCTCTTCTCGAGTTGACTCGCAGCCACTCGTCTTGGCTCAGGCATTGGCTTTGGCTTTGGCCGTGTTCCTGTTCCTATAGTGAACCCAGACCTCAGAACCAATCTTGATCCCATTCCCGTTCGCGTTCCTGTTTGCTGTTTGCTGGCTGCTGTCCTTGTCCACCCACCTGTCCACGCGGCGTGACACCTGTCACATCACACAATGGAAATCACTCGACATTGTCGCTTGGCATTTGCCTCCAACGATTCACTTGCTCTCGGCCAGGCCGAAGAGCAGCAAAAACTGAACTGTCGCTGGCTATTTATTTACTCAAGCGTTTGCCCTGGTTGTCCTGGTTCTGGTTCTGGTTTTACTCGTGGTCCTGCTCTGCTCTGCTCTGTTTCTGTGATGGATGGCACTTAGCGAGGGTTGTCTCTGTGGTTGGGCATTGACCATCGAAACTGCAGTTGCAACAGGGTGTGCCTCTCAGGGAAAACTTTGAATTTTATGGACTATACAGCTCGTGATCTCTACAAGCAAGAAATTTGCTCTTCTCCTCAGCCAGAGCTCGAAAGGTACGCCAAGATTCTTTTACTTATTTCACAAGTAATTTCGCAGAAAAGGAATCTCTGGTCTTTTCATTATGCTATTACGTTAATGCCGAATGGAATCGAATGACACCCGAATTCAGGTAATTCTAAATATGAATCATGAATCACAGAGTCAGGCGAGAACAAAAAAATCCCGATTGCGGTGCGGAAACTTCTGTACCACTCACAGCTTGTTCGGCAAATTTCAATGAGAAAGCGTCGAGGAGATTCTCAATGAGCCAAGTTTCGAGTTTGCCCTTGAGAACCTTTTGTCAGGCTTCTTCTCAGTCCTCTGTCTGGTGCACCCTGTACCGGCAGCCCGGCAACTCAATTGCCCCAAACCACCCACAGAATGTGCCCCATCCAGAGGCACTGCCTCTGTCGCACTGCCACTGTCGCTCGCTAGCTCGCTCGCTCTCTTTCTTCAGTGCTTTGCATGTCCGGCATTTCGCACCAATTGTTGCCATAAAATTTGCACGTATAAAGCGAAAATGCCAAAAATATTTCACGACAACGAGACAGAGGCGGCAGCATCAGCAGCAGCAGCAGCAGAACAAGGAAAGCAGCAGCAGAAGCAGAAGCAGAGCAACAGCGACAAATGCCGGCAACACGTAGCCGGCAATTGCTGGGATTGCTATTCGGATTGGGAATGGGAATGAGAATGGGTATTGGGATTGGCATAGGGATTGGAAACGTATGGGGAAGCTGGGAGCGGGTGGGTTTTTGTTCTTTGCTTCTTTCTTCATTGTTGCTGGCTGGCAATGCGACAAATTTCACGCTCAAATGTTCGACACGCGCCGGCGCAGTGCAGCCTCCACCGATGCTGCCTGAAACCGAAAGGAGCAGCAGCCAGAGCTAGAGCCAGCAGCCAGCAGCCAACAGCCAGAAGCCGGCCAAAGGATGCCGTCAAAGCGGAAATGTTCAGTTCATTAGCGAAACGTGCGCGTCGTGTAATGGACGTGCCCCACCAGTAAGCTCCGGCATCTTCCCATTGAATCCGTGTTGCGGCTTTTTCCCAGTGAGTGAGTGAGTGAGGAGAGCGCGCGCGCGACTTCTATTGCCAACAAGGAGTCAGAGTCAGAGTCGTAGTCGTAGTCGGCGTCGGAGTGGGAATCAGAGACAAAGCCAAGTGCGAAATTGCCAACTTCTGGCGTAATTAAATAATTAATTGGAATTAAACAAGGGAATTTCGCAAAAAAACAATTAACAAAAGCAGCCAAAGCAGCGGGCAGCGAGCAGGAGAAGACGATGGTGCTGGAGGGATTTGTTTAATTATAGGAAAGGTCAATAATCAGCCGGGAGTCGCATCACGCACAATAGTACGCATAGTACACCCAGAGTCCGAGCATCCGAGGGTAATGGACAGCATGGACATGGCCCAAACCGGTTAACCATCTTCTGCCTTATTTGTCGTAGTTTGTCGAGTGCGTGCGAGTCTCTGGGAGTTGGCAACAATGAGCTTTGTTTAATTAGAAGCGGCGCTGGACCCCAACACCTGTACACGAATTTATTGTAAAGGTAGCAGCAACACCAGCAACAGCAACAGCAGCACCAACATCTTCTGCTTCTGCTTCAGCTTCAGCTACGTCTTGGCCAGAAACCGCAAAGCGCCGCTTGATGGCCAACTGACTGACTGACTTGTGGCCAAAAGAAGATGCTCTTGCCACAGCATCTCAACATCATCATCATCATCATTATTATCATCATCATCCCCATCATCATCATGGTCATTATCATCAGCATGCATGTATCCCCAAACATCATTATGAGCCGCGCGAATTCTTCTTTGTGGCCATGGCCAAGACCACGACCACGACCAAGACCAAGCCGAAGAGTCCAAAGACGAAGACCAAGAACTTGCCGACGCCGCCGTCGTCTTCGTCTGAGAGATGAGAGTCGTCGAGTTGTTGGCCAAAGTTACATGGTGGCGTCGCTGTCGCTGTCGCAGTCCCCAAAGCCGGCTTGGCGCTCTGCTCTCTCCGCAGCGTCGGCGTCGCGAGATCCAAATGATGAGCATTTGACTGTGTGCATGTGTGAGTGTTGGGAGAGTGAGTGTGGCTGCCAGCACGCTCTCTTTCTTGTGTGTGTGTGTGTGTGAGAGTGTGTTTGTGTTTGTGTGAGAGGTTCTTTGCTCTCTCTGTCGCGTCGCTCTCTACGTTCGCTGCTGCTGCGCTGCGCTGCTGGTGTTGCTGCTGCTGCTGCTGCTGCTGCTGCTGCTGCTCGCTTCGTTCGTTTGAATTTCGAAAATCGCCGCACGACGTAGGCTATATAAATAAGCACAGCGGACCCAATAGCTCCGAGTCTCTTTGAATTTTATGAAGCGGTTGTATCTTGGTGGTGCCCCCAACCAACCAACCGAACCGAACGGCCAACAGAACCCCCCCAGTTGGTACCACAGCAGCAGCCACAACAGCCACACCAGCAGCAGCAGAATCTTCTTGTAAAATCTCTTTTGCCTTTTTACCCCAAGAGCAAGCCAACGAACACAGTGGATTATTCCCAACAATTGTTAACAATCAAAACGAAAAGTGAACAAAACACACACAGAAATTAAATTAAATAAAGTGCGCGAAATGTTGATCAACGTGTAAAGGATCTGATAACTGTGCAAGGACTGCAAAACGAATCCCAAAGATACAAACGCAAAGATACAAACCGCAGTGCCAGTACCAGTGGCCAGTGCACACATAGAATCTCCGCAGAGTTCTACTTAAAGGAAAGATTTGTTCATTCGTGCTGTTACTTGAGTGAAAAAAGGTGAGTTTTTCGATCTCCAAAGGTCCTTGGAATTGACACGTTCAAGAATGTTTTTTTGTAATCAAGCTGAAAGTTTTATCGATTATGGTGTGATTTTTTGTGTTGGAGGAATATAAATTTTTTTGAAAAGAATTTAGAAAATGCCAAATGCGAAAAAACATTTCCATGAAAATAGAAAAATATCTGTTTGGATTAATAAAGTATTCACATGCAAATTATCACAGTACAAATCAAATACAAAACCTGAAAATAAATTAAAATTTAAAACACATAAAAACAATAAAATAAAAAATATTTTTTCAAAGTTTACTCAAAACTATAAATTATAATAAAAATATAATTTCATCAAAATATTTTCTAAGTCAACATTAAGTTAAAGAAAAAATTTAAATGTTGATAATATTAAATGAAAAATACGCAAAATATCAAAATTTAAAGTAATTAAAAATATGTTCTAAAATTCTATTAAATTTCGATTCAAAATTATTTCCGACTAAGCCGAAGATTAATTTTTCATTCCATTGCAAAGTTTGTTAAATGCATATCTAAATTTTGACCGAATTCCATTTCGTGGTTTAGCAATTTTCGCTTAAGAACATTTTTTGCTGATAATTTCTAGAAATATTCCTACTTGGTTTGGAATGACTAATGTAAACTCATGACGATCGGTTGGGGTAATGATAATTCATTTGCGGACCATTTAAACTGGGGATATGCACATGTGTGAGAAGTGTTGCGCAATTGTTTAAACTTGATTCAATAATTATTCATTTCCTTAACTCGTTTACGTTGAGGGGCTTTCGCAGGGGAGATTTCCCCCAGTGGGCTGGACAACTCTTTCTAGGGCAAAAACCAGACATCCAATTCAGCCAATTTCAAAGGGCAGGAGGGCTGAGGCGACAACACAGAGAAACTGCAGTGACTTTGCCTGCATAAGCCGCTTTAATCTTTACGGCAGCCAATTAATGAAAATTAATTTGCTTACAGCCAAATTAAAGCAGGAGCCAGCCAGGCGTTAAAACGGCCTCAAAGTTATTCATTCATAAACAAGATATTGCACTAGTCGCAACGCAAGCCGAAGCCTTAGATACCCTCTGCAGTTTGATCATTTTTATGCACATTTTTGCATAAAGATTTGATCGATCATTTGGCAGGACAGACTAGCTCAGGCCTGAATAAAATTTAAAGCATCACCAATCCAGTCTCATTCATTTCGGTGTTGCAAACATATTGTAATTACCCTCTTGGAGGGTATTAAAAATAAGGTTTGGTGGTGCTCGACGGCGGCTGGCGGCTCGCTGCTGCTGTAAATTGCAACCATTCATTCGCTGGCTCATTCATTCATTCACAAATGGCTGGCTCCCCGGCTGGCTGCACAACTAACGGGCCACGCTCAGGCGTAAATGCCACGCGCGCCTTGGCTCCGGCAACGGCACCGTCACCAGCACCAGCACCAGCACCGTCTACGGTTCCGTCTACAGCTGCAGCCTTTGGCTATTTGCATTGTGAAAATAGTTTTTGCCTGTGTTTTAATTTATGAAAGGCCATTCCGCGCTTTTGGGCCTGATGGTGGTCCTTGCCCAAAAACTTCGGGAGCAGCCATAATTGGAATTTATGCCCACACCATCTGTTTGGGGGATCGTTAAAGAGGAGACCGGCCGCTCCGCGTCGACATTTGTCAAAACTCGTAAAAACTAAAATTGCCCGAATGAAAAAGCTTTTAGTTAGCCATAAATAATACAAACTACGGCTGGACCACCACCATCACCCACAGAAAGTGCCTCAAAACGATATATTTATAGTAGTTACAACTACACACGATTGTCCTGTTCCTGGTCATAGAGTCCTGTTCCTGGTTCTCTGGTTCTGGCTCTCGCTGTGGTTCTGGTTTTGGACCTGGGGCCCAATAAAAAATGCAAATAAAACGCTGCCGCAATATGTGACCGTCTGTCCCTGTGGCAGCCTCCGCCTCCTCCTCCTGCTGCTTCCCCTCTGGTGGGCTGACGGCAAACATTTCCAACCTGACTTTGAGTGTTATTTGGTTTGCCAGAGATTTCATTGGCAGCCGGCCAGAGACAGGACCGAGCGAGGGGCTCAGCAAAGTCAGGGTCCCCGACATTGAAGGGCCAGTGCTAGGGCCATGGCCATGGCCAGAGACTGAACTGAACTGGACTGGACTGGCAGCAGCAGGTGTTTGGTTTTGGTTGACTTTTTTTTGCCTTTGGTTTGGGCAACCAAAAACTGTCCCTTGGCCATGAACGGAAATAGTGTGATTTATAGACAATTTCTGTACCAAATTTTGACAGGGTTTGTCTGCAGCGGCGCCATCAGGAAAATGGCTACGGATTTATTGATGAGCCAACAGGAAACATGGCAAATACGAGTATCCGATACAGAGTCTAGTTTTAGTTGCGGTCACCCCACACACCGCATAGATACATAGATACATATGTACACACATAAAGCACAACCCCAAAGCAAGACCAGGCCATGGCAATGGATGGCCCTTTTCCCATGCCCATTCCATTCCCTTAAGCATTTTTGGTTTTGTGGTTTCAGCATTTTTCTGGATTTTTTTGCAGCATATCTGCTGCAGCATTTTAATTAAAAATGCCTGAAATGTCTCCGACTTGGGGCTGGCTCTGGTCTCTGGTCTCTGGCTTTAGCTTTAGCCGGAAAAGCAATGTCAATAATGACATAAATGCCTCGTCTTTAGGCACTTTAAGGTGTGCGGTTGATGCTGCTGCCTCTGCTGCTGCTGCGGTTGGGAATTGAATTGGAATTGAAGCCACCATTTGGCTTAACCATCCGCACTTCCGCTGCCCCGGGCTGCGACTGGGAGCCAGAAACTTTGTTAGATCTTCATCGTTTTGGGGAGATACTTGAACACTTTGTTGCCGCAAAAGTTGCGGCGTGGCCAAAGAAGTAAGAAAGAAGTTTTATAAGCTTAGCGTGCGGACAACTCTGCGTATGCTTAATGCCACATGCTCTGCAAAAGTTTGATGAACCGCATTGGCGCGCACATGTGCTGGGGGAGTCTCAGAGCGGATCAGGCGACTTTCTATAGTCACTTTCAATATCAAATGAATTCATTTCATTCGAGTTCTGTTCGCTGTTGTCCGCTGCTTTGGGCCTTTCTTTTGTCCCGGGCCAGTAACGCACTTGTCCACCCAAGGTGGGCTTCCTCAGTGGCTCGGCTCGGCTCGGCTCTCCGCGAATTATCATAACAATTAAAAGCCAATGCAAGCGAGGCCAGCAGCAAGCAAGTCGCAAAAATGTTCTTTAACTTTATGTTAATTTATTTTAATTTTGGTCTTTTAGAAAGAAAGATTAAAGCAACTGAAGAGGAGAGGTCCCATCACCATCACCATATCATCCGAAATGCGCAGAAAAAAAGTCTTTAAAATATTTAATTGGCTGGCATGAAACTTTTGCGCTCGGCTACTACTATTTTAAGTTATGATGCGGGTCCCCCCGGACACACCTGAGCTCTGACATCAGCGCATCCGATCTGGGATCAGATGTGTAGGGAGAAAAAAAGACAGGAGCCCCGATGGGAGCCAACGATTTTGTTTCTGATTCTGGTACAGGGACTGGGGACTGGGACTGAGAACCTGACAAATTACATAATGATAGGCTGGCCGATGCTAATGTCTCATTGTTGGGCTACCATTTTGCCGTTAGGCAGAAAAGGCCCAGACCCGACTAGAAAAGAGATGAAGACTCCACGTCTCATCACATCCCATCACATCACATCGCATCACATAATCTAATTAGACCCACGTTATGCAAATGATTTGCTGCGCTAATTGAGTGAAAAGCTGTGCGAAAGCCTAATGAGGCGAGGGTCATGCATCTGGCATCCGGCAGCCAACATCTATCCATAGGTTGCAGCTTGGCCAGGAGAGGGACTCCGACACTCGGCTATCAGTTAATCCGATTAGGGCATGTGTCTGTGAACTCGTAACACACTTATATCTACAAAAGTAGCACTGGCCATAATCCTGTTTTCCTAAAGTAGCATGAAGCTGCAGCTACCCGGGGATTCATTAGCATTTTATGATTTAAAGACTGCCGAGCTAATTGGAAACATTTTTGGCACATTGTCTGCATGTTTATCTAGCAAATGTCGCATCTGTTGGATCTTCCCCCAGATACAGTGATTCAGCAGGGGAGCCATTAGGGGATCCACGGGGGCTGCCTGGTGTCTATCGGCAACAGCTTTAGATATCAGAAAATGCATGTTCAAGAGATTTGCAAGCCAAAAACACTGCCATAGCACAGCAGTCCCAACAAATTTAAACTCTGACGCTGGCAGTTTGTTTCTCTGGCCAATCGCTTACCTTGGCCAAATGTTTTCTCGCCAAATTTCTGGCACCCCTCCCACAATTCAAAAGACACTTGAGACAGAGGCAAAGGCAAACCAAAAACCAAACTAAATATCATCCCCCCCAGTCAGAGTCTTTTTTGTGATTTTAAAGTTTAATTGAGTTAATCGGTTTATGTGCGGCATTAGCATTGTAGCCCCCGCTGCCTAGGGGGCAGCAACATAAAGAAAGTAAGCGCATCTAAGCCCATTACAAGCCAAAGCGACGAGGCAGCGACCAAACGACCAAACGACACTTGTCTCGCATTACGCCCAAACAGCGCCAAGGTTAAATCGTGGTCTAGAACCGGGGGAGCATGGAACATGCCACAAGAACTTGCCGCGACTGCCGCGACTTGACTCGGGCTTAAAGTGTGTCGTGGGGCGCAAATTTCTCTAACCCAAATTGTTGTTGCTGTTGCTGTTGCTGTTGCTGCTGCTGTTGCTGTTGCTGCCTCCGTCTTCGTTCTTCGTCTCGGTTTCGGGGCGCCGATCTGGTTTGCCACAGATGCTTTCGAGTTCAATAGCCAAAGAAAGTGTCAGACGGTAGAAAGAAAAAGTGTGCGATTCGAGTCGACCAGAGCAGTGGAGAGCAGTGGAGAGCAGTGGAGAGCAGAGCCGATGGCTAATGGTC